GTTGTTCTTGATTTATGCAAAACATGGATCCTTAACAATAAAGGTTGGCCGCAGAAGGTGCCACCTTCAAACTTCCATGTCTGGAGTTTTCCGTTCCTTATTTAGCTGCTTGGATTTTTTCCAATGGGCATTTCTCTTCTCGCGAGATTGCTATAAATCACAGCTTCACCTCAGCAGAAGTTAGAGTTTATGTTTTTTTTTGCTAACCTGTATATTGGTGAGTTGATGTTTTTTTTTAACAATACATCATTAATGCGATTATTTTGACAGATAATTATGATTGCAATATGATTGGGAGTGATTTTTTTGGCATCATAATTTTGAATTTCACTGAAAAAAAAAACAATTTAAAATGATGATGATGTGATCATTTTTTTGAGGCTTGTTGTCTTGGCTGCTATTTTTTTTGCTGTTAATTGTTATGTCTTTGAATGGCTGAGTACTTTTCCTGTTTGGTTGTTGTTTGGCACTTGTATTGATTCTTTAATGGTGAAAATATGAACACTCATGGTTGAGCATCTTTGAGTGTTGTTGTGGCTGAATTGTGGTTTATGCAACAGATTGCTGCCTGTGTTGCTATTTTGCTTTACCATATTATTGGTCTCTGTTATTACTATCTCCTTTCCCTCTGCTTTGGTGCAAAGTGGTGGAAGAAGTGTTTTTTCTATTGCTTTTTTTTTTATAAAAGACAGCACTGGCTCACTGCATTTTGTATTTTTTGACTTCATTTCGTTGATTTAGTTTTAAACTGGCTGTAGGTGGTAAAGTGTACATACCAACAGCAGTTAATGGATTTGGATAAATTGGGGAAATCTGTCAGTAGCTGGATATGAGGCAGGTCTGAAATGAAAAATGAAATGAGTTTGTCACTTGCCTCGGGTATATTGCAGCCATCAATTCCACCCATATTCTATTGTGTGCTTTAAAAGTGTGAGTTTATAAGTAAAATGACTTTTTTGAGACTTGTGGACTGTAAAGAGTCACAGTTGGTTTTTGTTGATCTGTTTTGAAAGCGTGGAATTTTACACCAGCCTGCCTCTTCGTCGGATCGTTGAGAACTTTTGAAACAGAGAGAAAGAAAGGAGAACAGAGTTTTAGTGAGGGCTGATATTAAACCACATCACTGTGTACTTTGGCAGCCGCCAGCTAAGGTACACAGCTGGAGTCTGATAGATTCACACTCTGGAATAATTCAAGACGCCTTCCTGTTTGGATGTCTTCTTTCTTGTAATATTAGACCGATCTTCAAACTGTTTCTCATAGGTTGGGCTCATTTGTTAATGTAGCTTGTATCCAATTAAATCTTATCAGGACCACTTTCTGTTTGCTGGTACCAGAGCATTATATTAAGCTTGCTATCATTGTGACTGCATTTAAAGTCCACTTTGGTATTTTCATTGACTATTTTTGGAGGAGACGGCTGAAACGTCACACTCTTAGCTCGGCCTCGATCTGTGGGGAAAGCACAGATTAAGAATAGTTGTTGATATAGAAGAAACTGTGGGGGAAAAAAACAACAATTAGTTTTTTCCTGAATAATATTGAGAACACAGTTAAATTGTTGTTTGTAGGTAATTTCATTACATGGCAACAAGAGGAGAAGAAATCCGATCACAACTGGAGACATCCTCCAGGTTTAGCTCTGCTTCGCAGGGAGAAACACCAGCTTCCACCAGTCGTGAGAGTCAGTGTAAAGGAGAGACACTGCCTCCGATCTGCCAAATGTCTCATTGCACAGGAAAGGTGAGCGGTTTATTACGTGGACGGACTGACATTAAGACAATCACTGTGTACTGCAGCGCATTAATACATAGCTGAGCTGATACCGATTTCACACTCTGAATAATCAGAGATCCTATGTCTCGACTTCTGTTCTTGCTAATCTCAAACGGAGCTTTAAACTGTTTCTCATATGATGGCGGCTCAATTGCCAGAATAGCCTGGAAAAATCCCGCAATCCCAAGCTCATCAAACCTCTCTCTTTTGCATGTCACCAGAGCTTACATTAAAAGGGCGCTTTATCATTATGAACTGGCATGCTCAATCATCTCTACTCTGGCCTTGTCCTCGACTATTCTGGGAAGCCAGACGGCTGAAATGTCACACTCTTGGCTCGATCTGTGAAGAAAAACACAGATTTTAAAAGCAAATAATACAGAAGCCACAGTAAAAAAACAACACTAATTAACAACACAATTAAATTGCAGTTTTTGCAGCTAATTTCATTACATGGAAGCAAGATGAGCAGAAATGCTATCAC